TGAACTTTTTGATTCAAGACCTAAGGACTCCTTCATGGGACGTCACGACTTTCGAGGTTCGGCAGGGTTGGTGGCTTGAATTGTTTTTTTTTTTAAAGGCCCCTTAAAATGCAAAATATGTCTAGTTTTCTTTCATTAGCAAATGTGTCAGCTTGATTACCGCCGACAAAGCAAAAAGAATGCACGTTCACATGTTCACATGATCTACTTTGTCAGTTTGATTTTATATCTTGAATGGGTTAGTTCTGTCGGGAAACCGCGACCTTGTAAGGTTAATTCTTAGGTAGAACTCGTTTCGAACCTGTTCAAACCCAATCCTAATTTTTTTTTTCTATTTAAACCCTAGTTCTTTTCTAGTTCTCACGCTCAGATTTGGCCCCTCTCTCTCTCTCTCTCTCTCTCTCTCTCTCTCTCTCTTCTCTAGTCCCTCAACTTTCTCCAGTGACACACCCTCAATCTCTTCTCTGTCTCGGTCTCGCCAACGCCGTCTCATCTCCTACTCTCGCCATCTCGTGGGTTGTGGGCTCGCTTTTGTTGGTCGACCGTCCATCAGCCCCACTGTTAGCCAGGTTCGTTCTTTCTTATAGCAATTAATTAGAGAGAAGCTCTGTACTTTTCTGAAGATGAATAGCCTGAGCTTTGTACGATGCGTTTTCCCTTTTTCTTTTGCGGAATTCCACGAAAGCAAGGAGGATGGGAAATTTGAAACAATGCGAATAGTAGAATGACAACTACCACCAAAGAATTTGTCCGCTCGCTGCTGAGATAGTTTTTGTTTCATCCTGCCAGTGGGGCATTCACCCAAAAAATTGAAACCAAAAGAAAATGAAAATTGAAAAAAAAGGGAAGCTTTCCAGACTAGTTCCTAGGGAACCAGTTCGGTTCCCAATCAAAAAAGTACTTCTCCCGATAGATTTTTACATTTTGCTTTTGAGTAATTTAATCTTGTCCAGAACACATTTTTACGTTTTTTTTTTGCCTAGAACATATGAAATTTTCACGCAACGATTGATACTAATTTATATGCAATTTTCTCGTAACCTTTTTATATTTGAATAACATTTTAAATTTTAAAAAGGCCAAAACAAACAAGTCTTTAGAAGTTGGCTAACTCTGATAGTCAAGATTACCTTCTTTCATTCTATTTTATTATGTGTCATTTGTGAAAACAAAGTATGTATACATATAAATCCATCAATATTAAGAAAGTTATGTAGAATGGAGCTTAATGGTTGCACCACATCATCACAAAACTCAATTCCCTCCCACTTCCTTTCACATAAAAATTAGACATATTTACCTTACAATAATGTAGAAAAAACTTAATAATCTAATATAGTCTACTATAAATTTTCTAGACAATATATCAACATCAACTTGCCTTATTTATTAAATTGGATGCAATCTTTTACATTTCCGGGAAATTGTAAGAGCTGAGTTAGGAGATAGGACCACAAATAAAAATTGGGAAGAAAGTGACATAAACTAATAATAATAAGTTAAACATGTAAATGGTACGAAAGTGTCTCTCCTTTTTTTTTTCTTTTCAAATTTCAAATGCAAAGTGAAACTTATTTAAAACCCACATATATACATTGATTTTTTTGTCAGAATATATATATTTATATATGTGACATGAAAAGTTTTGCAACTAGTGTTGTCATTTAAATATTCTTTATTATCTATTATCATTATACACTTACATTATGTGTTTGTACAATAATTGAGGTAGGGTGCCATATTAAGTTTTACGTAATAAATGAGGTGATTGGCCATTAATGAAGGGACAATTAATAAATTTATATATGATTTTTAATATATAGTATAGAAAATGTCCATTCTAATCTAATCTACTCTAATATAAATAATATTAGGTTTGATAATTGATGTGATATACTAAATGACTTCAATTGATCAAACATATCCGAGTGATTGGCTTTTCACTTCATGAAAGTACATTTTAAGGATAATATGTCTCATTCAGAGGTTTCTATATGATAATTGAGGTTAGATACTCATAAAGAGGGTTTGGTACTATAACATGTTACACTATTAATGAGATACAATTAGCAAGTTACTATTTTAATTTCCAATACATACGTGTTGTTGAGGAGGTTTGTTCCTGATATCCCCTAGCTTTGTGGAAGCGTTAGCGTCACTTAGAAGTAATATTGTGGGCGGGATGAAATAGAGAGGGTGTAAGAGGAGGAGCGGGAATTCTAGTGGACTTGGATGCCAACTAGCAGGTGAGGAATGTCAATTCACTTGTTGAAGAGTTTTCTTGGTTGTTCGCTGTTGAGGTCAATCGCAGTGTATAAGTCCAAATGTTTAGAAGTTAAAAAAGGTCCCCTTAATGAGTGAATTGATAGGGTATTTATTGTGAGAGAATCAATCCTAACTAAATATCATCTTTTCTCCATGTGTTGGTCTAGAAGAGTTTTTGTGGTTATGAGGTAAATTACGGAGTAGAGGTGATCAATGGACAATCTCGGGTCTGACCCAGACTTTCCATTGGACCTAATTTGTTATCCAGATCTAAGTTAATTTGTTTGGGCTTCTTGTGATCTTATGATCTTCTTCAAACGTGACAAGGTTTCTTATTTTTAAATGTTAAATCTCTTTTAATTTTTTGTAAAAAACTCTACTGGAACTTTGCTTGGAATGGGGCTATCTACTTTATTTAGTCCAAATGGAACTCTGTGCTTCTTGATGGTACTTCCCCTTCTGCTAATTGAGTGATTAGTTTTATATCAATTGATTCACATTGATCTTTCACTTATTATGATAGGGCTCAAATTAACTGTAACATTTGAAATTTAAGAAAAAAATCCTCTTACATCACTCAAGATTGCTCATCTTCGAACGAAACAAAGAATGCTTGGGGAAATTTTCAGCGTCTTTTATATGGATTTGGAGATATGACATATATGGTGAAAACATGGCCCTCAAGATTTACGTATTTAGGCTATTAGCCTTCTCCAAAATGGACATATAAAAACATATAATATGTCCCAACTTCCAATTCTAAATAGAATTCAATAAAGAAGATTAGCCAACTTCAAGAGCTGTTTTGCCGTTGCACATATTAAAATTAAAAGTAAAAAAACATCACAGCTTACTTTTCTGAGCCCACAGCACATTGGTAATTCAATACCAACATATAATTTCTTTTTTGCAAACAAAATGTTTCATACTACTTCATTCACATGAACTTCATAATCTTTTTTCTTCTCTTTTTTTTTTTCGGGCAAAAGCAGAGATTTATGAACATAAATTCTTTTACTATGTGAAGTTATATACTGAAGTTGCCCAGCCAGCTATAACAATATTCTACCTTCTCAATATCCAAATCCTGTTAACTTAATACTCTGATGTTACTACTAAACAATTCGGGTATGCATGTGAATGTGCATGGTTTTCCGAGGAAAGCATGTAAACGTGCAACGTTTTCAAAGGAAAGCCTATGACAAAACCATAAAAATGGGCATCATTAGAAAAAAAAAGTTGGGCTTATTTGTTTTCACAATGATACTTCATAATATTTTTCTTTTTTCTTTATTTGGGAAAAAGCATGAACATAAAGTTTTTTGCCATGTGAAGTTAGATGCTGAAGTTGCCCAGGCAGCTATAATACTTTTCTATCTTATCAAGAACCAGATCCAGTTGATTTTAATACTCGATGCTATTACTAAAAAATTGGGGCATGCATGTGAAGGTGCATCGATTTCTAAGGAAAGCATGTGAACATGCATGGTTTTCTAAGGAAAGCATGTGATGCAACTACGAAAATGGGCACCATCAGAAAATGATGGGATTACTAAAATTCATGAAAAAGGAATGACATCCATAAAATGCCTAAATATAGGATTTCACGTTGCATGAATGTGCAAGTTTTGGTATTGCCTAGCATGGGAAGAGATCTTTAAAGCAATTTGTTTACAGAATAGGAAAAAAAAAAAGAAAGAATGAAAAAATGTAGAAGCATTTATTCATAGGAAGCAAATAAATTTGAGAGATTCGCAAAGAGAGGAACTTCCCTAATCAAAATGCAATGTTTAAGTAGAATAATAGTAATAATGTCATGTGGCAATTGGAAGAAGAGTTTTGAACTTAGAGGTATAGTGTTCATATCATAATGTTAACAGATCGATCATGTTACCCACGCATACAAAACTTTCTATTTTCATGGAAAGAAGCTCTATCCTAATGTAGATTGCGTATGTATGTACATATACACTAATTAATAACAGCTCACACCTCACAATGTCCCAATTAAAGCTAACTAATATTCCCTTGGTTCATAACGTAAGCTCTTGATACTAATTTTGTCATGCATCAAATCCATCCCAAGAATTGAGAGAATGACTGGCCATCCTTTGAAAAATAAATAATGAAGCCTTAAACTAAGAATAGTAATTTTAAATAAATATATTGACTAAGCAAAACCTTTCATTGAATGATAATCGTAACATAATCCAGTAAATCATGAATTAACCAAAATCTAGAAATTCTTTAACCCTCTCCGAATCGCTCTTAACATGATCAATGCAATTCTTGAAAATTTGGGAGAGTCCCATCCAATCAAGCTAGAGTTGCGAAATGGTATTTGAAACTGTTTCGAGATAATCCTATAAAAAATATAAATGAAAAAGGCCAGCTTCTTTTGAAAAGATTCATATATGGGGAAAGTAAATTTAATCAGGAAATCATGCACCAATAACTACACCTAGATTTAATTCTTAATAACAGTGTACAATTAGGCTTCAATCGTGGACCTCAGCCCCGACCTCGGTGGGTCCCATATGCATTACCGATTTAGGCTTGCTTGGATGATGAGAATTCCTATCTTCGACAACTTGAGTCGGTCAAAGAAGTTGAAAATTAGATTTGTCAGGATTTTGATTTGCCAGTCTTACGTGAGCGTCAACATAAACTTCTTATACACATTCCGAGAAGCCTATAGTCTTGGAACGACTGTACTAATTTCTTTTGATCCACAGAGAGACGAAGAAAGAGAGATATAGAGAACAAAAATGGCAGAAGCTGTCCTTGGTAGCATTGCCAAAAAGATCGTTGATTATCTGGTTCCTCAAGCAATAGAACAGGTTGGACAGTTATGGTTCGTCCATCGTGAACTCAAGGCGCTGGGGGACACTGTCTCCACGCTTCAGGCTGTAGTGTATGATGCAGAGGAGCAATACTACCATAATCGCCAAATCCAAGTTTGGCTTGAGCGATTGAAAGACGCTTTCTATGACGCACAGGACGTGCTTGAAGAATTCAGTATAGAAGCTATGCAACGAGAATTGAGTGGACGAGAATTGAGCGGCCACAATAAAATGCTCAATGAGGTAAGGGCATTTTTCTCAAGTTCAAACCAGCTTGCTTTTAAACTGAAGATGATTTACAAAGTAAGAGCAGTGAGGGTGAGAATAGAAGCCATTAAGGCTGATAAGGGATTGCACTTGGTTGAACGCCCCGTGGGTCCTCAAGTGGAGAGAGAGTGGAGGAAGAGACAAGAGACGGATTCGTTTACACTTGAGGGAGATATTAGAGGGAGAGATGATGATAAGAAGACGGTTTTGAAATTTTTATTGGATACAAATGTGAAAGAGAACGTTTCCATCCTTCCAATTGTTGGTATTGGTGGGCTTGGAAAAACGGCTCTTGCTCAATATGTATATAATGATGAGATGGTAAGTAAACACTTTCACTTAAAAATGTGGGTTTGTGTCTCTGATAACTTTGACATGAATAAAATAGTCACAAATATCATAGCTTGTGCAACAAAGAAAGAACCAACCAAGGGTGCGTTGGAGCGGTTGCAAAGTGAACTAAGGGCAACAATTGATGAAAAGAGATATCTCTTAGTTTTAGATGACTTGTGGAATGAAAAACCAGAAAAATGGCTGAGCTTGAAAAAATTATTGGTGGGATGTGCTAGAGGAAGCAAGATCCTTATAACTACATGCCTTCCTTCGGTTGCGAAGATCACCGGCACTGCTTCGCCTCATCTTCTCGGGGACTTATCTGAAAGTGCATCTATCGATTTATTAATGCAAATGGCTTGTCGAAAAGAAGAGGAGATACAAGATCCTGAAATGCTAGTTATCGCCAAAGAGATAGCTAGAAAGTGCTCTGGGGTTCCATTGGTTGTTCGAACCGTTGGGCATTTACTGTCCTTTAAGGAAACTAAACTTGAATGGTTACGTTTCAAAGATGACAAGCTCCCACAAGTGAATCAAAGCGAAGACAGCATAAGATCAGTTCTTGAGCTAAGTTACAATCATCTTCCTTCACATTTGAAACAATGTTTCGCGTTCTGTTCATTGTTCCCCAAAGATTACAAGATAAAAAAGCAGACTTTGGTTGATCTTTGGGTGGCAGGAGGATTTATCGAGCCATCAAATGAACATTTAGAAGATGTTGCTCATGAATATTTCATAGATCTACTTCGGAGTAACTTCTTCCAAAATTATAAGAAAGACGAGGAGACTTGCCAGATGCATGATTTGATGCATGATCTATCTTGCTTGGTTGCTGGGACCGGGTGTGGGGTGGCATGGGATGACAAAAAATCCATACATGAAAGAACTCGTCATTTATCTGTGGGTGACTTTCCAATCCCATGCTTGAAAGCAAGTCCCTTGAGAACATTTCTTTCTGCTGTGCCACGGCCAAGAAGTGAAGCAGATATATGCCACCTCATGCAAAGTTTCAAAAGGTTGAACATCTTAGATCTGCATGACTCGTGTGTCGTGGAGGTGCCAAGGTCCATTTGTAAGTTGAAGTTTCTCACCTATCTCGATCTCTCTCACAACCATAGAATCATAAGGCTTCCTGACTCCATTACGAGATTGCATAGTTTACAAACACTTAATCTCTACCAATGTGCATACCTTGTGGAATTGCCGATGGGTATAAGGGAGTTAGTCAGCCTACGAAATCTAGACATAGACGGTTGTCAAGAACTTAGTTATATGCCACACGGACTAGGGCAATTGAGTTCTTTGCATAGGTTAACGCGCTTTATTTTGCCCAAACGTAAAGTTCTTACTGAGAATTATTGTGGACTTGGGGAGCTAAATGGGCTTAATAACATCCGGGGTAGCCTCAGCATTGAAAATTTGGGATACATAACAGATGCGGCAGCACAATCCAAGGATGCGAACTTAATAGGGAAGGATTCCTTGGAATCCTTGGAACTTCGATGGGGCTATCTCCATGCTGATGATGAAGTAATTGGGGATAGAGATGAAGCCTTATTAGATGGATTGAGGCCGCACTCAAATCTGCAAAAGTTGGAAATCTCTGTATATAATAGTGAGAGCTTTCCGAGGTGGATGATGGATGACATTGTGCTTTCCTTGCCAAATTTAGTTGAGATACGCTTCTACCGTTGCCAAAGATGTAAACATCTCCCTCCACTGGGCCAACTACCTCGCCTAAAGTATTTAGAGATTCGAGACATGACTGAATTGGAATACATCAAGTCGAACCCTTCGTGCACTTTAACAGGGTCATTTCCTTGTCTATCGAAGTTGATGATCGAAAACTGCAGGAACTTGAAAACCATGCCACCTACTCCACATCTTGAGGACTTAATTCTGAGTGAGTCCCACCCAACGTTGATAAATCAGACGTTCGGCCTTAATAAATTGAAGACTCTGGATATCAGGCGGATGCTGTCTCTAGAATGTTTGTCTTTGGAAAGTCTCACTTCACTTGAAAAACTTCGCATCATTGGATGTCATCAGTTAACTTCCCTCTCACTCGGTACGCGACCTCTATCCAACCTCGTGCGTCTCTCTATTGGGCAATGTGCATCCCTCGATTTATCCAATTTCATAAGCGGCAACATCTTGGATTTCCAAGGACTTGAGAGTCTCCGCTCCATGGAAATTTTTCGCCTTCCCAAACTAGAATCTCTCCCACAGTGGCTTCTACAGCTCACCAATCTCGAGCGTCTCAAAATTTCTTATTGCTCCAATTTGAAGGCTCTACTAGAGCAGATCGAGACCTTTCAATCACTTCAACGGCTTGAAATCACCGATTGCCCCTCGTTGACGTCATTACCTGATGGAATTCGAAGGATGGCATCTCTTAATCACCTAAACATCTACGGTTGCCGAAAATTGGAGGAGAAGTGCAAAAAAGATGGAGGCGTGGACTGGTACAAGATTGCTCATATCTCGCTCATAACTCACCAGACCTTCTTTGATTTCTGAAGGTATGTGGACCTTTTTTTCCCAGATTTTACTTGAGTAATAATTCTTAAATTGTGTTTTGATACTTGATTCGATTGGGGGATAGGGACAGATCGATGAAAGGTTAGGACATATCCTTGGATGCTGGTATGTACAGAATGTGGAAACATCGCTTTATTCTCAAACAAGAAAATTCATACTCCTCATCATCCAACTCCGAGCTCGTTAAATCTGGCTTGTAAATCATGTTGTGGATATAGCGTGCAATCTGCTTATTTGATTTCACAAGGAGTGAAATGCCTACACAGTCTGATGATTCTGGAAGACTCTCACAGATGAAGTGATGAAATGTTTCTCTAGAGAATGGCTTCTGGTTTGCTTCCCTTAAAAATTAACTTTTATCTCAATGTGTACCCGCAGAATCGGAGGTTCTGGCAGAGATAGCAAATCAAGGGTATGAGGCGACAATCAAATTTATAGCGTTTTTCTTTTCACATGCTACATGCTACTGATCTAGTAATTCTTGATAGGCGATCCCTAGACCTGTTGAGCACCCATCCGAACTTCCCAAGTGGAATTACCGTGGATCAAGTATCAATCAGGCTCCAAGGGAGGACAGAGAAGTGATCTTCATCTCTTTGTTACCACAATGTCTACAAAAGAAATGTGTTTGTGTGAGGCAGAAAGAATAAACGAAGCAGTAGTCTTAGTTGTTTCTTTTGATGAGTAACTCAATCACTATCAATTTTAAGTCTATGTTGTGGACCTCATGTGGAATCGAGTTCTCTTGTATCCACTCTTGTCTAAGATTTTTCCTGTTATGTGACTTCAATTGGTCATATTGATAATTGCTCTCTTCCGTAGTCTTGCTCTGCCATGGCATATCTGATGGATATTTTTGCCAAAGCTGTTGGCAAGAGTAATTAGCAATTTTGCCAAGTTTGTGAAAGAATAAAGTACTTCAATGTGATTACCTTTTGATTGCGAGAGGAAAGAATTAGGTGCACCGTCAAGATTCACCAGTTGATCCTCCATTAGATCTATAAGAAATATCATAATAACATGTTTGCTGATTGATCCTTGGTAAGGTGGAATGAGGCTTGAGAATAACCTTGAAATGGTTCTAAAAGGAGAATTATAGTTATGATACTGATTTTAGTTTACTTTCAAGGAGAATGTGGTAGCGTCCTTGGGGCAACTCAGCTATTTGCGCTTCAAAATGTAAGTTTTCCTACCTGAAATTAGTCTTCAAAATGCAGCTTTCTACTTTCTGGTGCTGGCTCTTGCTAAAGAGACCATTTCTTTGAAGTACCCAGTCCATTCTTTTATCTTTTCAAAACTAAACTCTCGTGCACACGAGTAGGCCAAGTCATACAAATAGAGCTCGTTGTTTGAACTATCTTCTCTGAGATTAAGCTCCTAGGTTTTTTTGTTTTAGTAGATATGTCTATCACTCACATTGCTTTACTTTTAGACTAGGCAGAAATGGTGTTGATTTTGGCACATACGGCACAATGCCAGGTGAGGACCACAAAGAGCTCACTGACCACCAGTTCCATGACAGTAGACACAAGGATTTCTCTCTTGCTAAAACAAAAGAAGAGTGGAAACACCGAAAGCTTTTCTAAATTCTAGGTGTATGCTTTGAGTCCAAAAAAAAAAAAAACCATTACAGACTAGAGAGTTTCTTCACTTGGACATCATGCCCTACACCAATACAATAATTGCATAATACATTTGGTATGTTTTAATGCCTAAAACTTGTAAATCCGGTGCACAAAAGGATGAACAATACTAGAACTAATATGTACTGAGATTGTAAGTTTGCAATTTTCTTCAATCTCTGTCAGAAAATGTATGTCATATGTTTTATGCACATTCAACAAGTGACACCATTTTTTTTTTCAATTTCCACATTAGCAAATCTTGTTTCACATTTTGATGTTAGTCTAACAATGAGACAGGATTGGATGTCTTGGCCTAGATCTACGCAGCAAATAAAGGGTATGAATGGCGACAATAACAAATGTAGCGTTTTTCCTTTTACGTGCTACATGCTACCTATCTGTTGATTCCTGAATAATCAGATGATCCCTAGATATGTTGACTTGTTGAGCACCCATATGAATTACGATGGATCAAGTACTGGTCAAGCTCCAAGGGAGGATAATGAAGTGATCTTATAGTAAGATGACATAAACCCAAAACTATCTTATTATATTTACCTTCACATCATTCCATCAAGTAATTTTCAAGGATTATTTCCGAGATGGCAACAATATCTTGGTAATAATCCCCCGAAACAAGTATTATGTTAACAAAAATTGTTCATCCATCAGATCATCTGAACAGATTAATTAAATGAGAAAGAACGTTTCAGTTAGTTTACAATGAATTATTGTTCGTTTGCAGGTTATTTGTGATTCATATGCACCAGCTGGCAAGCCGATTCCAATCAAGATACGTGCTAGGGATGCTGAAATTTTCAATAACCTAAAGGTTATCAATGAAGTTTCATGATTCAAATGTTATCAATGAAGTTTCATGGTAGGAGATAAAAAAACATGAGTTTTTGATGTAGCCCAGCTTCAAGATCAACTTGTTCAGCCAAGAAGATTGGCTCGTATTCAAGATAGACAAATTGACAAGAGTCTTACTGATAAGTTCGATAAGAGAAAAGCCTTATCTTTGACTTTGTCATTTTCTATGCATCGAAGCTTGCATCAAGACTCCTCAAGACGGCCACTGACTTTGTCATTTTCCATGCATCGAAGCTTGCGTCAAGACTCCTCGAGACGGCCACTAGCATTGGAAATATTGTACATTTAATAGTTCCTAATTTCTAAGTGCTTCTAGTTTCTATGTACTTTAATAGCTTATGGTTTCTAGGTTTAGTCTTTTGCTCTTCTTCTGTTTTTGTATAAAAGGGCCTCAAGTCCATGTAAAAAAAGGAGACTGATTTTGATTAATGAAATTTGCCTAGTGCAATTCCCTTGAAGCTCGAAGAGTTTCAACCCCTTGAAAACCTAGAAGAGTTTTCACTTCGTCCTTGAAGAGTCAGAGCTTTTCAAGTTTGCATCCTTGAAGAGTTGCAGCCATCAATCTAGAACAATTGATGCCCTTTCAACTTCCTTGGAGACCTAGAAGAGCATCCTTGAAGTTCCTTTTCTTTCCCGCATTTTGATCAATCACGATCATCCACTTCCTTCTGAATTCGATAGCTCCATAGTGCTTATTCAAGAAAATTCAAAACACGAAAGTTGTAGATCCAGGAGTCCTTGTTCTTTTGGCTTTGGAATCAGGTCATTCCAATCTGATTCAACAGAGTTATACCCATTTTCCCAAACTAGCGCAGAACTGAATCTGCTCGATTTCGCAATGGAGTTTTCGTGTGTGCTAATCACTCTCCCGATCCTATTGTTCGAGTAGTTGACTTTGGGCTACGTCATTTGGTATCAGAGCCTTGGAGGAGACGACAATGCCTCCAAGACAAGCAAGATGTCGAGGTGGCAGGACCATTCCATTAGACAAAGTGCACGCACTTGCGGAGAACTTGCAGCAATGTATGCAACAACAAATTGATGACTTAACCCGAGAAGTTCAGCGTCTGAGGGCTAAAGCAAACAATACTTCGCCCCGTTCCAGAACCGGAGAATCCAAAGGTGATTCTTCTTCTTCAGAAAGTGTGCAATCTTTTTCCCGAAGGAGGAATGCTCCATATCGCGCACAAGAAGTTCGTGAATCGGATTGGGAAAAGGAAATCAAGAGAGATCTTCCAGAATTTTCAGGTATCGATTCTGCTGATGAAATTGTTGATTGTTTGATACTTGTGAATAAAGTTTTCGAGCATAGGAATGTGCCAGATAATCGTCAAGTTGGCATCATTGCTATGCCCGTGGCAAGGCTATAGCTTGGTGGAGACGTGAGAAGCAAACCCGGCAATCTATTGGCAAGGCTCCAATCACTTCATGGAGAAAAATGGAGGACAAGATTAGAAAGTACATCCTCCCTAAAGGATACAAGAGAGAGCTCTACCAAAGGTACCAAAATCTGAGACAAGGTATGCGAACGGTAGACCAATACACCAACAAATTCAATGAGTTGGTGATTCGCAACAACATTCAAGATCCAGAAGAGGTGCTTGTAAACAAGTACTTGAATGGTCTTTAACTTCATATAAGTTCTTGACATTTGGGATTTAGGAGATGCACATCAATGGGCACTCAAAGTGGAGCGTTTTCGCTCTAGGAGGCAACAACCTTCTCCCTTACCGAACATGACAACTAGGACTACCACTGGCATCGCCAAAGTTGCTGAACCTACGGCATAATCTACTAGTAAGCATTCTTCTCAACCCAACATTTCAAAACAACCATCTACAACTGGTATGCGTTGTTATTCCTATGGGGAGATAGGTCATTGTGCTAGTAATTGTCGAATCAATAAGAATCGACTAGCCGGTAAAGCTTTATTGGTGGATAATGAATCTGATGAAAATTTGGAAGAACCACGTGATGAAGAATCAAAAGATGATGAAGTTGCTGCGGATGATGAACAAATAATACATGCTGATTCAGGAGAGCTTCTCATGTGAGAAAGATTTTTCTCACTCCTAAAGATGACACCGGAGATAGGTGGCTACGCACCAATATATTTCATTTAGCTTGCACCATTTCAGGGAAGGTATGTCAATTAATTATGGACTCTGGTTGTTGTGAAAATGTGATTTCTGACGTGGTGGCAAGCAAGCTAAAATTGAAGTTGAAAGCGCACCCCAAGCCTTACAAAATGTCGTGGTTGAAAAAAGGTTCCGAGGTAACCGTTTCCAACCGATGCCTTGTCAATCTCTCCATCGGCTCTATCTATTTTGATAAAATATGGTGCGATGTTCTTCCTATGGATGCTAGTCATATTATTCTTGGCCGACCATGGAAATTTGATAGGAGGACTACTCATGATGGCTATCATAATATGTATTATTTTATGTATGGAGGAAAGAAAATTACTTTGGCGCCTAGTAA